TGTGTGTGTGTGTGTGTGTGTGTGTGTGTGTGTGTGGTCACATGATGCAGTGCAGTTCCTCCTACATGTGGGGACTTCAGGTTTGTGTAGTTGTGTGGTGCCATCAGTGACTGGAGCTGTGGACCAGGTAGGATTAGTTCTTCCTGTGTGCTCTCTGGGGGTTCTGGGAGACGTCTGGTGGATTTTAGGTCAGTTAGTATTTATTCTGACTAACACTCATGCTTTGCTCCTTGTAATCATGACAACCTGTAGAGTGTGAGGAAGAAGGTGTTCCTCACTGACATGGAGAATATTTCATTACATAATTGTAGTTTTGGCTCTGATCGTGTGCAGCACTATCACAGCCTCTCAGGAAGCAGAGGATGGATTGTGTAGAAACTCAGTAATTATTGGCAGAAGAAGGTTTCTGCTACAGATAATCTGCATGAGCTGACACAGACTGGCTGTAATCCAGCTGGGGGTGAKAGGCGTTCCTTCAAAAGATGCTGGGCTKGAAATATTTCTCTTTTCCTTTCAGACCGTTGTTGACTGGGTTGTTTTTGGSTTAAGCTCACAGAACTGTCCAGGATGAGTTCCATGCTGACCTTCTACCTGTTCTACCTGCTGAGCCTGATCCTGGGCCTGGCCTGTGTGGGGTGTGTGTGCGTGTGGAACAGCCGGTGGCGTGGCGGCTTCGACTGGGACGGCTCGGCCCTGGAGTTCAACTGGCATCCGGTCCTGATGGTGACGGGGCTGGTGGTGCTGTATGGCTACGGTGGGTTAACTTTTTTTCTGATTTCTTTCAGTTTCTCGCTTCAGTTCCTCTTTCTGACACGTCAGGTGCGTCGGTGGAAGGACTGAAAATAGGTTGCTGTGTCAGAAACATGTGAGCTGTTGTAAAACTTTAATAAGACTTTCACGAGTCAAACTCTGTCACTCATCCACTGAGGGACAGACTTTACTGGACAGATCGTTTGATGACTCATTGTTGGACTTCCTGCTTTTGTTTAGGTGAACGATGTCATTCAGTAGAAGTAGGAACTTTGTCATCAGTTCTTCTCCTGTGGACCTTAGACTATGAATAATCTGTTCATAATCTGTCTTCTAGCATTTACCTTTAACATGCTTTCTTTCTGATCACCTGGGACAACTGTCTCCTTCACTTCCTGTGSTCCATGTTCACTGTGGTACACACCATGTCACCAAACAGTACTGTGACTACCTGTCAGCCTTTAAACAGGCAGACTGACTGATTACAAGCTTGATGACACCTGTGATGCTGATTACAGGACTCACTTTAGTTTAAAGTGKCTCTATGATCAAGTTTGTTTCAATCTTTTCTAGAGCTGCCATCATTTTTATCCTGACATGTTTCACTAGTTTGATTTTTTTAAACAATTCTGATGAACCACTATTCAAAAGTGTGTGATTTTAACAGGTTAACTTTTAGTGTTTTTTTTATTATTTATTCTTACTTTTGTCAGGTTTAAGTTATTTCAGTGACCACTGTGTGTTTTTCAGTCATTAACAGAGTTACAGTTGTGTTCACAGGTTTACAGTATGTCGTTGTGTGCACCTTATCAACCTGAGGAATCACAGGTGAGCTGTTCTGAATGAAACAGCTGAGCTGACACTTTTCTGCTCAACCTCAAAGAAAGTGTCTCTTAGACAAATCCCACACATTTTATTCTCCTCAGCTGTGTGTGTGCATGTCTTTATATCTACAAGTATAAAAACTGTACAGTTTCCAGTAGACTGAGGTTGTTTGGATCATTTTCAGGTGTGTTTTATGTTCTGTTGTCTGAGGTTAGATGTGGTTTAAAACATTAAAGCTCAAACTAAAAACAACATGTTCAGACGCTCCAGAAAATAGAACAGAGTCATATTTCTGTGGATTCTACAGAGCCTGTCCGGTGACATGGAATAAAAAATAATTTCACTTGGTCACGAGATAATAAATCGTGCCCAGCGTTCAGGAACACAGCAAAAATCTGTTTCTCAACACACAACCAGGGCGTTTATTATCATTAGGCC